AAAAAAAAAAGTTTTTTTTTTTTTTTTTTTTTTGAATACGTTCGGCCGAACACCCGAACATGTTCGGACGTTCGGAAAAGCTCCGAACATGTTCGGTGTGCTACACAGCTGAAAACGAAAAGACAACTGGATAATTACAAAACTTGAACCACCAGTACCCCAGGGGGTCTTAGGCCCCCTCTGACACAAATGCATATGGACCCGCGTGCGTGGGGCGCACCGTGATGGATTCAGCCTCGGAGTCCGCGTTAATGCCTAAAAACGCGGTTCAAAGACCCGCTAAACTTTGAAAAACAAACCATATGCCAGCATACGGGAAGCTAGTACTCTGTCGATATCCTACTACGATCCCATATCATAACTGTTACATTACAACCCGCGGAGCCATAATTCTGGTTCTTACTACTTAGCAGCTTCTTCTTCACCTAGTTATCAGCTTCAACCACCACTACCTCCAAGCCTCTCTTAGGCGAGGCAGAAAAGAACTGCGCAGCAAGCATTGCCGAAGCTCCAGTGCAGCGTCTTTTGGTTTTCTTTTGAGTGTTGACTCCGTCTGGCCCTGCGGCCCCTGCCAGCCATTGTGGTCACTGACAGGTACACTGTTCATCCGTACATTGTCGACCCGAAATGTTGCATTTTCAATTCTCAGCATTGCCTCTAGCGGTGTCCCGGTTTCCAGCAGGTGCAGCTCCCCACCAATAGAATGGAGCCTTTTAAAAAAAAAAAAAAGAAAAAAAAAAAGAAGCATTGCCTGTAGCGGTGACCTGAATAGTTTTTGGAGAAAAGTGCATGCCATACTAGCAGCAGCCATAGTAGGACGCGCTCAGTGAACTCCTGGCAAGGCTGGCATCCTCCGTCAACTTCGATGTTTTCCATGTCCTCCGTATGGCATTGTGCTGTCGTCTGAGTCGTCTCGTCTTTGCCAAACGATCTCAACAGGCTCGGCCAACACTCGTTGGGTGACTTGTGTCTGCTTCACATTCAAGTTCTTCAGAATTATCTCACATTTTCAAGCTCCGTAGCAAACACCAACGCTTCCAGTTCGTTATACTCTGACTGCAGCTCAGCTTCGCTGAACTCGTAGGTGTTCCCGGGCTCCGACAACCTTTGTTGGATCTGCCGGATATTGCATGCGAGGCCATCAACCTGATCTGATATTCGGTCGACACTGCGAACGTTAGTCCGTTCCTCGATAGTCCGCAGAGTCGAACTACCCTCGCCCAAAGCATGGGCCACAAAATCCTGTGACGTTGCAGTTTCCACCAACATCATCAGTTCATGTGTGCGGATAGATTCATTTGCAACATCCTCAACTTGTTTCTCATACATTTTCTTCCTTGTCAAACATTGCTTGGCTGCTCGCTCGTCCCGCTGCGCAGCGAACTGCTGCGCTCTTTCGTCCTCTTCAGCTATCTTCTTCTGCAAGAGGGTCTCCTTCTTCTCCAACATTTCCACAGTTTCCCTGAGCGTGTCCATTGTGGGAACTGCTGAGTCTGACTGTTTCTCCTTGCCTCCCCTTCTAGTGAACCTTTTAACTTTTTTAAGCATATTGAATATTATTGATATTGTACACTTACTCTATCGGTAGACTAGATGTCGGATAACCGCTAACCTGACCTGCATGCAAAATCGAAAGCATACACACAGACAGAAAGAGCAGGAGGGAGGGTATGGAAGGGGGGAGCGACAGAGACAGAGCAACAGCCATAGACTAAGTGCAATGTATTGGAGATCCAAAATAACTTTTATTATAGATCGGAGCACCCAGCAATAGGTTACTTGGCGGTGGTGCTCATATCACCCTACCAAGTATGCCAAGGCCAGTTTTGAAAAAAAAAAAAAAAAAAAAAAAAAAAAAAAA